GGCTGCCTCCTTGTTGGGTAGCCGCTTGAGTGGCTTTGGTGGATGATGGCGTGTTTGCCCAGATGTATTGAGTGAGGAGAATAAAACTAATTTGCTAAGCACTAAGAACTCAACAAGAAAGTCCGCAGAGGGAAACCTCTGGCCGGTTTCACTTCTGATCCCAAACACCACATGCATTTTTCTAGATCTTTCCCTATCTGCTTCTCCCTAAGGAGAAGGTGTCTGAAGAATCCATGGGAACTGTTCAGGTTTTCAGGGTAGGGCATCCATCAGGGCTAGCGTTCTCCCCTGTAGAACAAGTGGCCAGCACGGATGGAGAAGTGACTCTCCCTGGGGTGGGGTGGGGCGGGGAGGGCTGAGTGAGTTGGCCGCGTCCTCTCCAATTCCCACGGCACATGGCAATATTCTAGCAACCCAGTAGCTCCCAAACCTTTGGCTTCCCAGGCCTTTCAATCCGCATAACTGCTCCTGGAATGTGCATAGCAATGAGGGCCAGCATATTTTCCATGACAGGTTTAATTTTTAAAAGGCCCCTTGCTTCGGGGAGCACGCTGAGGGTTGTGTCTTGTTCCTCGGAGATCTATTTGTGCACAGCTGTGTCTCGCAGCACACTTCTTGCAAATGTCTCACACCAGACAGGAAGATATCTTTCGGTTAATGGCGTGCAGATTTCTTTTTTAAAAGAGGTCACTTGACCATGTTACACAGCGTCTAAAATCCTGCACTCTGCAGCCCACACCTGATGCCCCTACTGGCGGTGCGTGGTATTGCACTCTCACTCTAGGAGCCCTCTGGGACCTCCACCTTGGGTGAAGCGGTGGGTTCGCCTCTCACCATAAGCCAGAAGAGAGACTTCTGCAGGCTTGGGATAAGCCCCACGGCAGATGGTGGAGGTGGCAGGACAGTGTGTCAAGAGAGACCACAGGAAACAGGATGTTGGAACTCTCAACAAAGCAAAGCGCTCTGGCCCACGGCTGGCAGACACCGTGCAGTGCCCTGGCAGCCTGCTCCTTCCCTGAGGTCCTACCTCCAGCAGCTGGAGGAACTTACCTGAACTTGAGTTCACAAAAGGAGTTAGGAGACAATGGTGTGCGGCTCAGGCCGTGTGCTGGGTCGCTCCTCGGTTTGATTCGGTTGGCAGTGGGAAGTACTCCTTCAGATATGGGGGATCCTAGGGATAGCCTTGGGAGGGGGTTGTGGAGCGGCTCAGGAAATAAAAGCAAAGATGCCAATGCCTGGAGGGTTTGGGGAAAGTGAGTGGGTTCTGCACACATTGTTTTTGGAGGAGAGGAAGCTATGCCTGTTTGGCACAGCCTAACTTCTTGCCCTGGGAGTCAGACGCCTTTGCAAACCCCAGACTGTGAGCTGGGCTAGAATAAGGACTCCTATGCCGTATCCAGGTTTTCCCGATCCTCCCCCTCCTGGCCAGATGAGCTCAGCAGCAGAGCGGTTTGGTTTGGCTGTTGAGCCACAGGCGGAGGCCACTGGAGAGCGGCCAGAATCTTCATCCCGGGCTGGCTTTGCGTTAAGCACTTCCTAATTCCTTGCTGACATTTTGCTCAGGTTGGAACCTGAATAGGAATGTGTCCAGCTCTAAGCCTGCTGACTAGTGCTGGAGGCAGGGCCCGGTTGCCTGTGGTCATGGGCAGCAGAGCCTCTCGGAGACCATCAGCAATCATTTCCTCCACCCCCAGAGAACCTGCCAGCAGAGTTGTTTGCTGTCACAAGAACAGCACAGCTCCCCGTGAGTTCTGGGCATCTTTCCGCCCCTCCCTGTCACTGCAGATGGCTGTTCTAGGTGCACAGGGGTCACAGGATGGTAGGGGCTAAGCGGAGTCCCTGCTATCATAGCACGGGCTCTGGCCACCGCTACCTCCCTCTGCAGAGCTGGATCCTGTCTGCCCACGATGTGTATATGTCCCTCATATCCCTGGCTTGAAGGCTGCTTGCTACCCAGGTGCACTGACCTCTCTGTGGGCAGCGGCCGTGGTGGTGATGGCTGTGGAGGTGGTGCTGGTGGTGGGTGTATCCTAGCGTCTGTCTGTGTGTTTCCCTATAAATGGATCATCTCAGAAGCTGCACTGGGGAGAGGAGGGTGGGTCGAGAATGCATCCAGCCCCTGCTGGCTGCCCGTTCCCCCGGGTGTCTCCTACCCCTGCTAGTCAAGCTGTGCTTGGCCAGGGAAGCTTTGTTCCTTCTGTGGGGGAAGAGTGAAGATTGGCAAAGCACCATGCCTCGGTTAGCAACTTGCGGACATGTGCTTCGTGGAGACTGAGTGTTCCCATCCAAGAGCATTGGCTTTGTGAAAAAAAAAAAAAGAATCCTTAATATTTAAAATGGACTGGCAGGAGAGCAGGTGTCGAGAAGAATAGAAAAACGGGTACATGAGGCACTTGAGGGCCAGGGCCTCTTAGCCAGGGCCCCTTGAAGGGATTTAAAAATAACTCCTCTCTGCAACCTCCCACAGTTGGCCATGGGACACTTAAAACCCAGAGGCTTTGACTGAGGCAGCAATGCAGGATGCCTCACTAACAGGGTGGGAGCCACATATCTGAACACCTGGGCTTGGGGTCAAAGTGCTCATGGCAGACCCAGCCTTCCTTTCACCGTGGCCGGGGGCAGCCCGTGGGGCAGCCTGGTTCTGGGATGTCAGTGGCATCTAGACCTAGAGTCACGATTAATCTCTCGGTGTCCGGCTGCCTTGCACGGTTCTCAGAAGGATTTGTGTACACGCTGCATTTCCTAGGGCTTCCCAAGCTTCACGGGGGGGTGTTAAGGGTACAGTTGTATAGGAAGAGTCTAGAAAGTGGTGCTGTGACACCTCGGCCCTTACATACAGTGAGACAGGGGCCTCCTAATGGGTTAATGCCTGGAGCTGCCACACTGTCACACCCCTGACGGCTCTAACCGGCAAGTATGTCTATCTCACAGCTCTGGAGACCATAGGTTGGGGATCAAAACATCTGTAAGGCCACAACTTCTGTCCTATAGAGGAGGACCCCTACCAGCCTCTGGTGGATTCTGCACCACAAGCCTGTCCTTGGCTAGTGGCAAGCAGGCCTTAGTCTCTGTCAGTATTCAGACACCTGCCAGTCCCTTGTCTGTGGGAGATCTCCCTCTCCTTTTTCCTGTGAGGACATCAGTCTTTGGAAGCAGGCCACCTCTCAACCCAAGGAGAGTCCATTTTGAGATCTTTGCAGTGGTGACATCTGGAAGGACCTCTTTTTTTTTTTTGCATAAGGTCACAAGCATAGGTCACAGATGTAGGACCTGGAAATATTTAGTGGCATACAGTGTAATCTATAACCTCGCCCTGTCTTCCCTCTGCACCCTCTCTTTCTGTTCCTCTCTTTTCTTTTTCTGTACTCCCCTTGTCCCCCTTTCCTCTGTCCCTCCCGGGCCTTTCTAAGGGCCGTAAGCCCAGAACAGACAATTTCTCTTCTTGCAAATAATATTCCTATGCCATCTGCATTTCTTTGTCTTGGTAGTTCTGGGAATGGGGTTTAAGCATTGGGTTAATCAGCGGTTTACTCTTAGAGTAAAACACAGCGGTTTACTCTTAGAGTAAAACATCATTTTCCCTGCTACCCAGAGGACCCATCTGCTTGAGAAAGGGATTTACAAAGTACCAAGGGCCTGGGCACCTCAGGTGCTGACCTGAGCTAGGCAGTGGCCACAGCTTCCAGCTGATAGGGGTAGAGAGTATGATTTAGGGGTAGAGAGTGTGGTAAGACCCAAGGGGTCATGAGTGTGCCTTCATTTCAGATGGCTAAGGACAGTCTATGGCCAGCTTTCTAGCTCTCCGTAATTTTCTAAAGTTTTTGATAATTCCCAACAGCTTGTGAATAAGGTCCAGACCTGGAGGTCTCTTGCAAACTTCTGTTTCCAGCTGCGGTTGAAAGCAGCTTTGTTCCCCAGCCCCAATGAGCTGTTGCAGGCACAGAGCCTGCCTGGCGCTTACTTCTACATATGTGGTACCTCCCCCCTACCCCCCACAGCCCAGTCCAGCCTTCAGGCACCAGCTGTAATTATCTTTCATGCTCACACCATTCCCCAATGAAACCTCTTCCAGAAAGCTCTGCCCAGGAGACTCCTGCTGACCTGCAGTCACTCTCTCTTCCTTCGGGGGATGAAAGGGTCTCCAAGGTAGAGTTAAGTGGAGACACTTGCCCTGAGAACCCCTTGCCCTGACTTGTGGGCTGGACTGGGGGGATCTGCTGGCGTTTGCCCCTAGAACAAGTTCTGAAATGGTAAAGTTAAATGAGCCCTTTGGGTGTTTACCAGCCTTGCATGGTGATAATCTTCCTATCCCGTTTGCTCTAGAGAGCAGAAACCCCAAGTGACATAGTGAAGGGGCCCTGGAGGGGGCCCCTGAGCCTCAGGAGCTGGCGTCCTCTCCACACCTGTCCCTGCTTGACTTGCAATTCCTGTCTTTATCCTCTGATTCCCCTGTAATCCCAGCCAAGCCCGGCCAAAATGAGATTCCACCTACACCACAATAGATTTTAAAATACAGTTGGAAGACCATGATTCGTTCCTGTGACTTGGCTTACAAAATTAAGGATTTGGGAGGAAGGTTAAATTCCTAAGCCTTGTCTGGGCTCTGTTTCCACAAGAACCAGAACTATGTTTAGTTTTACCCCCACCCCCTGTGCCCTCAAACAAGCTTGTCAGTGCTTGCATTGCTGGGTTTTAGATGTAGCCGAGTCTCAGCTGCAGACTGGCCCTTCTGACCTAGAACCGAACCGACAACACTCAGAGGTCTCCCCACAAGAAACAGCTCCATGTTTTACCCAGTGGCAGAGTAAGGCTTCCCAGCCAACCTGCAGACCTTTCCTTTTCCCGTGCCTCCTGAGGGCCTTTGTGTCTCCTACCCAAGCCAATCAGTCACCTGTATGCCTGGTGAGGTACATTTCCCTGTTCTCTTCTCGGCCTGGGCCTACAGTCTTCCCTCACAGAGTGGACCCTGCAGAGAGGGCCAGTCCACACAGAGGCACCACTGCCCTGGGTGCTTGTTAGAAATGCAAACTCTTGCTGCATTCTCTGGCCCGCTGAACTGGGACCTACTGTGTAACAAGATCCCAGCTGATGTGTTTGCACATGGGGGGTTGGAGAGACAGTGCTCAGTCCACAGAGATAACGGGGATGGAAGCAGCTGCCCACATCTGTGTTGTTGGGGAGGTTGTCAAGGCCCTGAATAAGGACATCCAGTGCTGCCCACCTTGCTGCGGTCACACAGGTGACAAGTGGGCTAGTGGAAGGGACCTGGAGCTGGAGTGTGGATACAAGATCTGATGGTCACACAATGCTGCCTCATGTTGCTGATCCTCTGGTTCCGCATATGAAAAACCAGGAACACTATCAGGAAAAAAAAAACCAGGAAATAAAACTTAGGACAGTGTTGTGTCCAAATACCAAAGTTTGTTTATGTACCACACACACACACACACACATGCACTCACGCATGCACGCACGAACACGCACACACGCACGCACACATGCACTCACGCATGCACGCACACACACGCATTTTAGAGTTCTGAGGAAGAGCTGAGTCATTGTCCTATCTGGGATCTTATGAAGGGGGCAGAGGGGACCTGGTGAGAACTCAGGTGACATTTGTGGAGACAAGAGACTGCGAACTTCCAAGGGCTGAGTCTCCGTGGCGAGGCCAGAACCTGCCTACCATAATCGGATCCACAAAGGAGGAATTAAATTGGGACAGAGCAAGTATCAAAGGCTGGAAGCTGGAGCCAAACCGGTGCTGGGTGGGGGCCGTGAGCAGGAGGCACCGGAGTGACAGGAAGCCTGGGCCGCAGGAACAGTTAGGACAGGCGGGCTGTGACCAGGGTGAAGAGTTCCGGCCCGAGACGTGGAAGTGGTTCAAATGAGCTAACGCAGGAAGTTTTGGGGGACCACAGGTAAGACAACCCCAACAGAGAGGATGGGCAGGTGGACAAAATGCTAACCGGGGCCCAGGCAGTGAGTGAATCCTTGTTATTAGTGGGGGACTCTCTGGGAGGAGCAGTAGAGATTGGTCTTGGCTGAGCATTTCCATGGGGTGGCACGCTTGGGCCAGGTTCTTGTTTGGACTGTGCAACTCACACTGTACCCCACAATGGTCTCTCTCATTGCTGACTCCCCCCGTAGCAAGTTTCTCTTCAGCATGCAGTCCTGTGTTAGGTGCAGAACTGTGGCTGCTCCGTGGGGCGGAGGTTTCCTTCTGGGTCTCTGCGGCCGATCAGCTGTGGGATGTGCAGTTGTTGTTTAATGGCTGGCGTTGGGCACGCAGCTGTGCTTGTGGCTTAAGGGAGCCCGGGATGACCCTTCCATTTCCGCCCATTCCCACAGGAGATTCTCCGGGCTGTGGGGACATGGGAGCATGGCTCCTGTTGGCTTCCTATACCTCCCACACGATGCTCCCCTCAAGTCCTTGCTTCTCAAGGCTGTGCTCCCCCAAAGAGTACAACAGAGCCACAGCATGAGCAGAGGCCACGGGGAACAAGGCCACAGGGCCCCACATAGCCCTGCCACCGGGTGCTCACACTCAGCGTGAAACTGGGGGCTCCCCCGGCCCCGGTCAACGAGTGTCTTGGCAGCGGATGCCGTGTGTGTGTGTGTGTGTGTGTATGTGTGTGTGTGTGTGTGTGTGTGTGTGTGGTTCCCTTTAGATGATGCTCCTGGACACACTTGGGTGACTATGTGTTTCCTTACCATGATGGTTATGTCTTGTTTCACGAGTGTAAACCGGTTGGTGGGGTGGTGTAGCTTGAACTGGGAAAACCACAAACTGTAGAGTGTCACGGAACACTGTCCTGTTTCCTTGTGTCACTGATGGATTGAGGACAGTCAAAGGGTCCTTTTCAAAAGGTGAAGTAGATTTCCAACTAGGGGTGGTGTGATTATTTCCATGTGGAGACAGGGATGAACTACGTGTGTCCCTCATGACTTCATCTTCTCTCCAAGTTTTCACTGCTTAAGAAGCTGCTCATTAGATCCCCAGGAGACACAGAGGCACATGCCAGCCTGTTCTTTGCTGCCCAAGTTCTGACCCACGGGACGAGGATTTAAACCACTTTGCTCTTAAGTTGCATTTTTTTTCTTGCCCTTGTTAACTCCACACTCAGAAACTAGAATGAAAGAAAAGCTGGGGGTCTAGACCATATGCCCTGTGCCAAATCCCCACCTTCTGAGACCTGGAGCCCTGATTCAGCTGCTGTATAGAGCAGGCAGAGGACACGGCAGCCCAACAACCATAGTCATGCATTTCTCCAGCTCTCTAGACAGCTCTTAAGTCCAGAAACATCTGGGGAGGAGGCTGCGCGAACCCCACAGCATAGACGCATTTTGACAAAGTCAGCTTGGCAGTTCCCCTCGGCTCAATAAAGACAGCACTCTCTATTTAAAACTCAGCCCCCGCCTGCCATGTCCCTTGCTTCCCCAGCTCTCTCTTTGGTTCTCGGGGGAAGCCTTTCACATCTCCGTAGCCATCTGCATTGCTGATCTAGGAGATCTCAAAGCAGAGTCCACACACACACACACATACACACACACACACATACACACATACACACACACACACACACACACACACACACACACACACACACACCTTCTCTGTTCCCTTTTGTGGGAAACCCTGGGTGCTCTGCCTGGGACCTGAAAGGGTCATGGGTCCATGGTCTGCAGTGTGAAACTGTAGCCTCCCGCCATCCCAGTGAGGGACCAGAGTATGAGGAATGGCATGTAGGGTCTTCTAAGGGCACAGAGATGGTTCAAAGCAGGGCTACATTTGAAGGCTTTTGTCCCCATGGGATCATTCTGCCATTGTATAACCCTGAGCAAACCGTACCTCCAAACCCTGGGCTTCCTCATCCAAAAGGAGAGAGAGAAGCCACATCCCTACTTCACTTTTACGATTGCCGGGAGGGTTAACTAAGAGCATCGAGGGGGAGTGTACGTTGCTAAAATCTGCCTTAGTGAAGAGTACATCCTGATCCTGAGCCTTGCCACAAAGCTCAGTGGGGTAAGGTGTGTGCGCTCAGCCCAACAGGTGCAGTTTGAATGGAACAAGGAGGCATGGAGGAGGGAACCCCTGGAGTTGGGAACCATGACAGCCCCCAAAGGCCAAGGTCCCTGCGCTGTGTTCATCAGCAATAGCACTGATTAGACCCTGGGGAAACTGCATTATGAGGAGTTGGCACACCTGCCTCCTCCTCCCTGTGTAGCTCCTCTGGGTCTCCCTCCCTGTCCCTTTGCCACCACTTGGCCAGTGTTGGGACTCCCTCCCAGAAAAGGGCTTTGGGTCGCATGTTCACAGTGGCTTTCCTTATGTGGTAAGCCCCTGCTCCCGAGGCCTGCCTTGAAAATCCTAGACTGAAGCATCTGGGTGCTGACTCGGGCAGACATGGTCCGGAGGAGTTGAAGCACCTACCCGGTGTGTTCCCCCCTGGAACAGAATGAAGGTGGGTGGGGGACCATTGCTAACTCACACTTCCTACTTGGCACCTCACTATCCCAGACTGATAGTCTGTTTCTGGTGACCGCCATTTCTTAGTTGTCATGCATGGTCCAAGAGTTTTTCAGATACTTTTTAGGAACTAAAGGCCATCTGGAAATGTAGCCTGAGATGCTGAAACACTGGAATTTCCAAGCTCAAAAGATTCAGGCACACTGTTTAAACCCTGGCTAGTCTAGAGAAGCCAAAAGATTGGAAACTACCCTAAGTGATTTCCTCAGACCTCCCTGGCTCCCTTGTTCCCCACCCAAATTAGTTCCCCATCAGTTTTTACTCATCGCACCCCCTTTTCTCCATTCGTGACAATTGGACATTTTACTATTCTTCATGTGCAGTATTTGTCTAATAGTTTCTTCCCAGAGCAATTTGTCCCCCTGATCTATGCCCATAAATTAATTAGTTGTTGGCGACTCCGCTCTCTGCTTCTCAGCTACCGGGAGTGGTTCTTCATGTGAGGTCCTTGGTTTAAGAAGAAGCAAGTTCCGCCCCCATCGTGGGCTTGTTGAGCCAGAGCCTTGGGGTTAGGATGGGACACAGCAGCCTGTGTTTTGCTGGAGCTGCAGTGGCTCTGGTGCCTGCAGAGCCTTGAGAGCCACTGCCTTTACTCTGGGATGAACTCTGCAATGCCTTCCAGGTTACACAGCGGCCCTGCCCAGGCTGAGGGTCAAATAGAAGGGAGACTTGGGCCCTTGAGACCTCGAGTTGTTTCACAGAGAGGCACTGTAGCTGATATATCCTAGATCTGAACGTGGGTGGGCAGCGTCCCTCTGCTGCCCATCCACACCCCCATAGCAGGCAAGCAAGAGAGCCAGTTACTAGTGGAGAGTGTGAAAGGCTATAGAGGAGGACTGATCTGGGGTGTCAGATCCTTGTCGTAGGATCTGGGACAGCCTGTCGCGTGGCCCCAGAGATGTGGACCGCCCACCCTTACCATGGAGCTTCTGGCAACTGGAGCTAGGTGAAGCCCCTTCTGTGGCAAGAAGTGGCGGTCCCCTGACTCAGCCAGCTAGGGACCTAGATAGTAAAACAAACTCTGCAGGTCTGAGGGTTGTGGGGGATGGCTCTGAGCATGAACCTAGCACAGAGGAGGGCATTTGAGAGACAAATGAGTAAGGCCACTTCCAGCCCCAAAGCTACTTCTGCTGTTGTGTCTCGTGGCTGCTCAAATAGTTAATCAGTAGGTCTTCTAGACATCTTCTATGCTAAGAGAAAACATGTGTGTAAAGAGAAGCCTTCCCACCAGCCTGGTTCCAGAGCCACATCAGTCCCAAATAAACACACAGGAGGCTATATTAATTTTGAAGCTGTTGGCCTTGCTTGTTTCTTACTGGCTAGCTCTGACTTAAGTATTTATCCCATAATTGATAATCTAAGTATTTCTCTTACCGGAGAACTTTCCGGGCTTCCTACCCCATGGCAGTTACATCTTGACTTCCTGTGTTTCTCCTTCCCAGAGTCCTCTTGGACTCCTAGTCCCACCTATCTTGCTCCTTATTGGACAACAGTGCTTTATTGACATATACACAGGACTTCCCCCATCACATGTGAGCTAAATCAACCTAAAAAATCGGACTGGCTGGTTTCACTTACGCTTTCAGCTTGGGATCGTTTGGGCCCCTAGCTCTGACACCTTAGCAGGGAACATGAGGTAGATAAAGGTATGTACACAGTGGTGAGTATCCTGGCCTAGTGTCCCCTTTGGGGACATTCACTCCAGCAACTCTCTCGGCAGTGCTGTCAGCTGGGGCCTCTGAGGGATGTTCAAGATCCCACCCACAGTCGTGAAGATCTCCCTCGATGGGCTGCATTTACCCCAGTCCTGTCTGCAGACCCCCAAACACCCTGCTCTTGGGTAGGACAGCCACATTCCACACAAGCAGTCTGGCTTCCTGGAGGGGTCTAGCTACACAGGCCTACACAGGTCAGCAGGGTTCCAGGATCTTTGGCTAACCAGGTTGTGTGTTTCTTGGAGTGCTTCTGTCTCCCTGAATGGAAAGTCCAACTGAAGACCTGCCAGCCTCCTGGGAAAGCCTCTCTGGTTTTGATCCTGAGTTTGCCCCAGAGCGTGTCCCAGGCCACTCTGCCCATCTTGAGTGTTTGCTTAGTGACGCTGAATAGCTGGAAGAACACCAAGGACCTCTTTCTCCCTCCCTTCTCTACTCCCTGGCCCCCTGCTTTGTCCCAGAGATCACTCTTCTCCTGCCTTTTGTGAAGCAGGTTGTTTACTTTAGCACATGAGACCATTACAAGGGGCCTGCCGCTCTGTGGCTCCTAATTTCTTCCCAGTGCTTTCATCTTTACCTTTTCTTTTTTTTCTCCTTCTTACTGGGATGCACTTTCAGGAAGTATAAACACTGTAGGTGACAATACTTTGAAGCCTTTTTTTGCAGTGTTCTGCACACCTAAAGCATTTTGGTGTACACACACACACACAAGCACGCATGTGTGTATGCACATATATTGCACACCCACTCAAATGCATACATGTGCATATACACCTGCATGGTGAACTGAGCCCTTCCCATCTTATCTTACAACTTGCACCTCCTGGGTTCACTGTTATTCCTTCTTGCTTTGTGTCAGGCTCCCAGCACCCCTTCCTGACAGCTTCTCCTTGAGCTCCTGTCCAGAAGCAACTGCGGGGAGGCCCAGGCCCTGTGGGCATGTAATCAGGAGATTTTTTTTTCATTTACGAGTATTACTGTGAATGTCCCTTGGAGAGCTGGCTCACACCCAAACCACATGCTGTCACTCACGTCCAGCCCCACCCATCAAGAATTGCCTCGAGTCCCACCGCACGCTTGGAGAAACGCAGAGCTGTCTCTTCTGTGTACCTCCTCCTGAAGCCTGGAGGAAAACTGTCACCTAAGAATGATCCAGTCTTGTGTCCTATCAGATGTGATCGCACGTGGCTCTCCTGGGAGGCTTTCGACGAAAACAGATGGGGAAACAGTACCTGGGACTCCAGGTGGAGCTGTGGGGACCCTTTCAGGGTAAACCACCACTCTGTGACCAAGGCAACCTTGAGCGAATGGGCGCCTTCTCTGAGATTGATTCTACCCCGACTCCCAGGAACACAGTGGGATTCTTCGCAGTCACATTCCCGGAAATACAAACAGGATCCATGGTGACTAGATCCGGCCCTTTGTCCCTTTGTTCTTGCTTTTGTTTTCTTGGCCTTTGCACGACCTAGTGTTTCTGGGAAGGCCTCTGCTTATGCTGCCATTGCTTGTCCTCAGCTCCAGCAGGTGACGCCCTGACTCAGCCCTGGCAGCTCCCACAGCTGTCTCCCTCCCGGGAGTCCTGAGAGCACTATCTTTAATCAATTTGTTTCGGGAAAATTCAGCAAGATCATCCTGCCAGGAATCCCATCCGCTGCGCTGCCTCCAATCCAACCGCTCTTCTCGGCACTTGCCGCGTGGTTCTGTGGAGTCCTTCCGCACCCACCCCACACCTGTGTCAGGTTAAACATGGGGAGCCCCTTGGCAGGGGCCAGGAGTAGCCTGGGCACCTGTGGGGTGGAGGTTTGTTGACTGTTAGCACTTGGTACCAACAGCAGAGGTAGACTCTGCACGGAGATACGTGTGCTGTGGTTCAGGCTTTGCTCCAAGGGTCTCCCATCCATGCCTGTGCCTCTACCCTCCCCAAAGCTGTGTCTTCGCAGAGTCACTCAGTTGCAGCTGGGGATCAGAATTTCCCAGGAAAGAAGGGCTCTGTGGTACACGCATGTCATCCCAGCAACTTGTAAGGCCAAAATAGGCTGACTTGAGATGAGTTCAGCGACAGCCTGGGAAGCAGGGAAACCCATCTCCCAAAGGCTCCTGGGTAGGAAGTTAGCCTGGGAATTGTTTGTTTGCTTTCTGATTGCCTGTCAGTCACACCTGTTGCATCTCTCCCCCCGCCCCCACTCCTTCCTCGTTCGTCCTCCATCTGTACACAGAGAAGGACTGGGAACTAAGACTGCTGAAGGGAAACTCCTGGCCTGGGTTCTCCCGCCTTCCTCTTGTCTTTGGGGATTCTTTTCTTTTTAGTACCACGTACACGGAATCTACTATGTTTACCGGTGTGTTTCGGTTTACTAAAAGGGATCCCTTCATCTCTTTGGCGGTAAGCTCCGTGTGAAGTAAGCTGAAGCAAACAAGAGCTTTGCAGGACGGCCTTGCTTCCCTATCTTTATCGTCCAGCATCTGTGGCCACGGGATTCAGAAGCCTCCCCTCGTTCAGCCGACAACACCTTCCCCTCCCCCAGCCACTTGAAGGATCCCAGATACTGTTTGTCAGAGTCCGGGATAGACTAGATGAACTTGCTCCCCATCCGCAAAACACTGGTCCTTTCGGAGACAGCTTTTATGAGGACGTCCTGACTAGCCTCAGCTGCTACCCTGACACATCCCAGAATCATCCCAGGGAGTCTCCAGGAGTCGCCCGCACTAACCCATGACCATGTCTGTGAGAGATTGTCTTGATGATAGATGTAGGAGGGCCTGGTCCACGGTGGGAGGTGGCATCCTCAGGCTTGGGGTCCTAGGCTCTGTGAAACAGCCAGCTTCGGCAAGCCAAAGAGAGAGCCAGTAAGCAGAGCGTGGCTTTCTCTCAGTGATGGATTGTAAGCTGGAAGCTCACCGAATGAACCCTTCCTTTCTCAACTTTGCTTGTGGTCAGAGCGTTTTGTTCCAGCAACAAAATGACACTAGAAGAGAGGACTAAGCAGGCACCTTGGCGTCTCTGAGTTGGAATCCTGGGGTAGGGCAGTGTTTTCGGGGTTGGTTTTGAGTCAGAATTTGCTTCTCATCCCCACGGCTGGAATTTGTTTGGCCTGGTGATCTTCAGTTCTCTCTCACGCAACTGTCGCAAAGACATCCACACACCTCCCTTTTAGCTCTCTGATACCTTTGATTTCCTTTTGATTTTCCCAAAGCTTGGGCATTTCCACCAAAGGTTTTTTTTTAAATAAAGAAAAATATTTTTTTAATCATCAAATTTAAACTGACAGTTTTTTTTCTGGAGCAAGGATAAAGGGAAAGAGACAGCAACTGCCATAACCAGCAAGTGAAACCCCAGCAGGTACATAAGGCAGGGCAAGGCAAGGGTCTCGTGGCTGCCACAGGTAGAGCTCTGAAGAGCTCTCTCCAGGAGGGCTCAGCTTCTGCAGAGCACAGGACTGGGAATTCTAGGGTTGGGGAACCATAAACCCACAAGCAGTCAAGCTAGACACTTGCACAGGCAGAGACGCAGAACCCACACATCACGGGCAAGCATTTCCTTGGGTCTAGATATAGTCACAGTTGTCAGACGTTAAAAGTCCATTTGCTTAATTAAGAAGGTTGGGCTGAGAAGAGCTTTATCAGTGAGTGAATCCTGAGACTGCAAAGAAACCCCGGTGGGGCTGCTTTTTTTTTTCAATGGTGGTTCTTCCTGACCACCCTGGCCTGCAGGGTCAGCCTGTCTTGTCTGCTGTCTGTTACCCCTGCATTGTGAGCACGTGTGTAGCATCCCAAGCCCCCTCTTCCAGTCCCTGGATAGGTATGACTTTTCCAGGAAGCTCTCCCTTAGCTGCTGTCACAGCTCTGACAGCTCCTGCAGGTTAACCATCTGCTTGCTGAATTTTTTTTTCTTGATGATATCTGGAGTTGCCCTTTAAGTCAGAATCCAAGACTGGACATCATGGCTTCCTTCCCCACTCCCATTCCCCACCTGGAGACCCCTGCCTGTCCCTATGATAGAGGATCAGCCTCCTTGGGACATGGCAGTTGCTGTCCAGGGTGCTGACCCATTCTGAGTCACAGTGGAGGCCACTCCCAATCTTGCAGGGTTTAGGCTGAAATTCTTGTTGGCTAAAGCCCTCTAGCCCATTCCAGAATAAAACGACAAGTGTTTTTTTGTTTTAATCTAGAACTGGGAGCTTGTATCAGGCAGTTAATGGGATTTATCAGCTCGTCCCTGTGTCTGACCCTACTTGTCTCTGCTCTGTGATAACAAGCCAGGTCGTGTCAGCGGAACAGCACAGGGCCAGCACAGGATGCCTGCAGGACAGATGGGGCCTGCCAAGTTGGCAGCATCTCTTTGGACATTGCACAGTTACCTATGGCCTCCTAAAGGCAAGGAAGAAAGCCATGTGATCTGGAGCAGATTCGATGGGGGGTGGGGTGGGGAGGGGCGGCGAGGGCAGATGCCTTCCTTACTCAGCCTCTGAGCCTAGACATAGCCAGGGAGGAAGAGTGTAGACAATGCGGAATACCTCTGTGGTGAGGACCGACGTGCTCTGCCTCAGAACAATACATTTTCAGCTCTCTTGAGAGCCGAGTATGGAAAGACTGGGGGCATGAGGCCGACACTGCAAAGGACTGTCTGTGGGTGCCCGAGCAGTGAGTGTGAGGCTTGCGCTCTGACCTTTGGAATTGTGAAACTACTTACAAGTTGATCAGGACTCA